TGCTGTCCGTGCTCAGCTTGGCTGCAGGTGGGAAGCTGCTGGTGGTGCCGCTAGATGGGAGTCATTGGCTCAGCATGCAGGAAGTATTGGACAAGCTCAGGCAGAAAGGACATGAAATAGTTGTCGTTGCACCTGAAGTCAGTTTATATATAAAGCCAACAAATAATTTTATTATGAAAATGTACCCAGTCCCTTTCACGCAGCAAGAGATGGATGACATGTTCCGGGGGACTGGTCAGGATGTATTTGCTGAAGGATCCTTCTTGGAAAGATTTATTATAGCATATCAAGGGTTGAAAAATAGTTCCACTATGTTCCTGTCTATTTGTGAACAGTTACTGTACAACAAAGAACTTATCAGATATCTTCAGGAGAGTAAGTTTGATGCTGTCTTTACAGATCCACTGCTACCTTGTGGGCAGATACTGGCTGAGCATCTTTCAGTTCCATCTGTGCTCTACTTGCAGCAAATGCCGTGTGGCTTGGAATTTGAAGGCACTCAGTGTCCAAATCCCCCTTCTTATGTCCCCAGGATATTTACAGAAAATACAGACCACATGAACTTCCTCCAGCGTGTGGAGAATGTCGTCTTTGAAATACCAAATTTTTTTCTATGTGATGTCGTGTTTCAGCCATATGCAAAGCTGGCTTCTGAGTTTCTTCAGCGAGATGTGACTGTGCCAGTTCTCTTAAGCAAGGCTTCCATTTGGCTCATTAAATTAGACTTTGTTTTACACTATCCAAGACCACTGATGCCCAACATGATTATGGTTAGCGGAGTAAATTGTGCCCAGAAGAAGCTAACTCAGGTGGGTCATCTGTTTTCTTTTTACTGTCATTCTTGTGGGCTTTTACATACACTGAGATGTTGTGACACACGTTTTTTTTGGAAGGTTTCTTTCAGCTGTTGATGGCAAAAGGATTTCAGGCTGCTTTTTATTTATGAAGAGCTGCCAGTACTCGACTCAGTGAAGATAACCGAATATCTCATTCAAAAGATATAGTATTTCAAATTTAAATGGCTCTGGGTAACTCTTCTAAAATATGTGACTGTATTAGATCTCTTACACAAGGTATCTATTTGGCTTTTACTGTTTCATTATCCAAGACAACTGATACCAAACATGATCATAATTGAAAGAATAACCTACACTCATGAAAAGCTATCTCACATGGGTGATGCTCTAGGTTGTTTCTTTTTCTTCTCCTAAACTATTATTTTCACTATAGAATCTTTTTATCATTTAGTTAGATAGGTTTCTCTAACTGTGTAAACAGGTTCAAGCTTCTTTTCACTTACCAGGGGGTGCAAGTACTTGTTTTGGTGAAGACACTTGCATATCACAATATAAAAATTGTGTCTAGAACAGAGATATCTCAGCTGACATCTATGTAAATATGCAGAGGGTTTGAATCTATTCTTGTTGCTCAGAAGCACACCCAAAATACCTTCTGCCACCATCTGAAGAATTTAATTTCTCTGATAGAGGTAGATAGTATAAAAGGTGGTGAGAATAGTACAAGATGGTTTTTTTGTGTGTGTATGTGAGCAGTTATGGTTATTTGTGAAACTCCTAGTTTGGTCTTTCAGATTTGTCTTTACTTAGAGGTTGAACCTATGCTTATGATCCTTCTCTTACTGTCTGTTGGTTGCAGAACCAATATCCTATGCCAGATTCTGCCCTTGGCTTTTTACAGCAGCAAGAACTTGTGGCAATTCTTGCTTTGCAAACCTCTTCCTCCTTTTGCTGCTTCTCATAGTGTGTTTCTACTTTGGGTGAATTGCCCTTGTACAGAAAGCTATTTTCAGGTGTGGATGAGGTGGCTATTATTCTCTCAGCCTTGAGTCCCAGTTGCACTAGTACTCCTTTCCCAGCATTCCTCCAGAAGGGAAAAACCTGTTCCAAAAGCCAGGGAATCACAGAATCATGAAATATGCCCAGATAGAAAGGAACTACAGCGGTCATTGAGTCCAACCCCCAGCCTCCCACAGCACCACCCAAACCCAATCCCCATGGCTGAGGTTTGTGTACCAATGCTCCCTGAGCTCCAGAAGCTTGGGGCCATGCCTATTGACCTGGGAGATGCTCCGTGCCCACCACCCTCTGGGGCACAGCCTTCTCCTCGCACAATCTGACCATCCCCTGACTGTCACTGTCAGCAAAGAGCACAGCTCTGCTCTGCCCTTCCACTCGCCATAAGAAGCTGTGGCCCACCACAAGGGACCTCCCCTCAGCCTCTTCTTTTCTGGGCTGAACAAACCAAGGGACCTCAGCTGCTCCATGTTTCTCGCTTTGCAGACCCTTCCCAATCTTCAGAAGTATTTTAAATTTTGAAATACGTTTGAGTATTCCAGGTCTGTAATGTCTAACATGGTCTTGATCAGACACATAAAATGCACTTGGGAAAACTGTTATCAAAGGTTAGTTACCTTTTTATTTTCCCCCTTACTT